CCATCCATCCTGATGCTACCGATTGGTCCAGTGATGAGAATTTTTGTCTTCTGGACATTGAGCCTCAGTCCATATTGAAGGCTACAGTCCTTGACCCTCTGCAGTAAGTGCATGAGGTCCTCCTCAGTTTGAGCGAGCAGGGTTGTGTCATCTGCATAACGCAGATTGTTGATAGAGATGGTAATAGTTAATAAATAAATGTTACATGGGTTTTTTTAAAGGAAACGGGGTATTTTATAACCTGGTGTAATGAAATTAGAGAAATAACTATAGCTATAATTTACCATTAGCCAGGCATTGTGTTTTTAAGTATTTAACATTCAAACCAACTATCCCAAAATAGGGAGTATCAGCCCCTCTACACAGATTAAGAAACTGTGAATTAGGGAAGTTCAATGACTGTCCCAAAGTCACTCAGTTTACCATCTAACTAAAGGCACTCCAGTGAATGATACAGCACTGTACACACTCTGTGACCTTCAACAACCTTCACCTCTATAATCTCCACTGTCACCATTACTGAGAAGAAGGCAACAATGTTCACCTACAACTCACCGTCTCCTCTTAGTCCATTCACCCACCTTTTATCATGTGCTCACACATCTAGTGAATACATACTAAGGCCCTACTCCATGCTGAGTACAGAGATGGACACAGACCCTGACCTCAAGGATCCTGCATTTCATAAACAAAATCCAGTTGCCATCAAATCAGCTCCAACTCATGGTGATCTAGATGTGTCAGAGTAAACTGTGCTCCGTAGGGTTCTCAGAGGCTGTTTTTTTCAGAAGTCAGTTGCTAGGTTTTCCTTTCAACATGTCTCTGAGAGACTAGAACCTCTGCCCTTCTGGTTAGCAGCTGAGCATAATAACCATTTGTACACTAAGGTTTCTACTACAAAAATAAATGAGATTTAAAAATTCATTAACTAATAGACTGTGAATTGTGAGGGAATGAAGCATGCTTATTCATTTTTCTGGCTGCATAACAGACTAAAAGTCTAAACCTTTTAAAGAGTTTGACTAATCAGCAGTTTAACAGTTGTCTTAATAGTCCAAAGACAGAGTCTCTGCCTAAAAACACTTAAAAAAAAAGATAGAAGTTTATCTTCCACTTCTCCTCACTCTTATTATCGCCCAAAGGAAATGTTAAGCCTGGAAACCACATTTATGGAACTGCTTATAAAACATGAAATTTCACATGAGACTTTCAAATCCAGTTTTGCTTCTCTGTAGTTATTTTTCTTGTTAAATTAATAATAGGAATAATGTCTTCTTGTTCTTGCGTGAGAATTAACAATTAAATACAGCACTATTGGTTTTCATAGCTTATTTACACATAGATTTAACCATCAAACAAGATGGGGGAGAAGGTGCTATGCTTTTCTACAAGAACACAAGTCTTGGTTGAGGTGCAAGTGACCTGCTTTTATTATAAATACAGGCCTGAAAACCCTAAAAACGAATTTTATTCTGTAACACATGAGGTTGTCATGAGTCAGGATCAATTTGACAGCAAAGAGATTGGTATTTTTGGTACAGGAATAAACAGATTATTGGACAATGTGGGTTACCATCAATTGCTAATATCTTTACGAATTATATAAACACTATTGGCTATTAAACACTACAGAACAATCAACACTTGAACCCTTAGCTAAAGGTAATAACTAGCATTTGAATGTTTTCAATGCTGGTTGTTCTATATACATTATCACTTTTTTTTTTTTTTACTTTCTATCACATGTATTTAAACCCTTCTTTTAATCTTATAAATAACCCTGTGAAGTATATCCTCATTTTACTGGCTGTTTTATGTTTCCCAGTCAAAATGGACTCATAGGTGACCCTCCAATGGATTTGCAGAGGCTATAAAGTTCATAGAATGAGATTACCTGAGATTACCCACCTTCCTTCATCTGTCTTTAGGTTGGCAACACAACTCTATCAACTAGACCATCAGAATGCCGAGAACTCATTATAGAGACATGAAAATTGAATCTCAGGGAGTTTTATCAACTTCGCCTAGTTGATATGGCTAGTAAGAAGACCTAAAATTAGCATCCATTCTGTATACCACTATTGATATACATGAAAATGACTAATATATATTGAGTATTTGATTGATCAGATGGTAGGATAAATACTTTAGACATCTTTTTTTACTTAAGTTTCACAGGACTCTTAAGAGGTGAGACTTAGGTTTTATTAACCTCATTTTACAGAAAAAAGACAAAGCTCCTGACAGTTTAGAAGAGATCAAGATTCTGACAGAAAATACTACAAATTAAGTTCCTTGATTAATGTGTCCCTAGATCTGCTCTTTCTGCTTGATTTTCTCTTCTAGAGGGGATCGGGAAAATCCTTGCCACATTACATGAAGAATTTAGCTGTTCCTTCTCGCTAAATGCCAGGAAAGTTCTATTCTAGGAAGAAGAGACTTGAGAAATCTAAACTAATAGTCCTAAAGTAGCCCTGATGGTGTAGTTGGTAACATGCTACACCGCTAATCAAGAGGTCATCAGTTTGAATCCACGAGTAGCTCTATGAGATAAAGATGAGTCATTTCTTCATGTCAAGATTTATAGTCTCAGTATCTCAATAGAAGATCTGTATGAGTTGGAACCAACCTGATGGTGGTGAGTTTAATCCCTAAAGCCTAGCTCATGATTTGAGGTGTTAAAGCATGTTGAAGCATTATCAGTCCAGGAGTAAGTCAAACACTGACAAAAATATAATGAACTCATTAGATTAAATTACTTTCATTTAGAAGAAAAAAATGCTAAGGGAGTGATAGCAATCTAGATGTCAGAGCAAATTCATTGCTATCAAGTTGAATTCAGTTTATGGACATCCCATGGGGTGTCTTGTATGGATCCTTCTAGAACCCTTATTCTAGGCCTGTCTTTTGCAGTGCTTCTGGGAAGGTTTGAAGCACCAACCCTCAGGATAGTTATCAACCACAAACTAAATATACAAATTTTGGCTTTGTTTCCTATATTTTCACAGCAAATGTAGACCATCAAACTTCTTTTTGGAGGGTGGAAAATTGTACTTGAATCACAAAATAAAAAGGTTCTGGATTCATTCTTTGGAAGAAATGGAAACTGAAACTCAGAGAAGTGAAACATCTTGAGCCCAGTCACACAACCAATTTGTAGCTAAGCCACACCATAGCCCAGACCTCCGCCCAACACAGGCTTGTTCCCACTATCTGCACTGTCTGCATTGTGTTGAAACTTGTCTGCCTCCAGTTTGGAGCTATTTTACCTTCTTTCCCCTTATTTAAAATCTTCTGAGCTGAGAAATCAATTGCAGGCTCTCTCTTAAAGCTTGTATATACGTACCTGAGCTGTGACCCTTGGTGGTAAACATCTGGGGAAAGATTGTGGTGAGGTTCTTCCTCAGGGTCCAAGCAGTGGTGACCTTGGCTAATGTCAGAAACCAACAACAAAAAAAAAAAAAAAGAAAGAGGCTTCTCTGAGAACAGAGAGCTTGTTTGGGGAACCAAAATAGTCACAGGGGGAAAAACAAAACAAAAGCATGAAGCACAACACATAAATAGATAGACATCATCAACATCTGAACCTTCCTGGATCCCTCTGGTGAGAACACACCACACACATAAAACACTTGATAAAGGTAAATTACAACCATCATTAGTGGCCTAATTGTTCATCATAATATTAATAGCTGTACTAATAGTCATACTCAATAAATCACCTTATTAAAACATTTTAAAATAGAGAAACTTTAAATAAGGAGTTCTGATGGCCCAGTAGTAAGAAGCTGTGCTACAATCCTAAAGACACACAATTTGAACCCACCAGCAACTCTGTGGGAGAAGGATGGGCAATCTCATCCCAGTCAATTTACTGTTTCTGAAAACTCACTGGAGGGCCAGCTATGGGTCAGTTCCGACTCGATGGTAAACAGCAACAAAAAAGACTAGAGGTGAGTGTTATTGTCTTCATTTTTTAACGGAGCAGGAGGTCAAACTTAACTTGCTCAAGGTAGTAAGTGTCAAAGTTGGATTTGAACCTAGCTGCATGAACCATAAAGTGTCTGCTCTATAAATCTGAACACTTACATGCACAGTCACAATCACGATCCAGTACTTCTCAATTCTGGCGGCAAATTAGAGTTTTTGAGGTAAACTTAATGAAATATCAGTGCTTGAGCTCTCATTCCAGAACTCAGACTAATCCAACTGCTATGGAGCCAATTTCAATTCACTCTCGACCACACTTCTAAAGCTGTAAATCTTAACAGAAACAGACTCCCGCATCTCTCGAAGACGATCTTTTTAATTACAATCCACTGCCATCTGAGCTTTGGTGGCCTAGAGATAAGAAGTTGTGCTGCAATCCCAAAGGCACAAGGTTCAAATCTACATGCTGCTCTATGGAAAAAAAGATGGGCAATCTCCTCCCATGAGATTAACTGCACCTGAAAACCTGCTGGAGAGTCAGCTCTGGTTTGGTTCCAACAACCATCTAGTCAGTTCCAACTTGTAGCAACCCTCCATTGAGTGTCCAAGGCTACAAATCTGTATGGGAGGAGAGTGCCTATCTTTCTCCCCAGAAGTGTCTGGTAAATTCAAGCTGCAGAATTTCTATTTGCATTCCAGTGAATTATTTTTGCAAGAAAACATAGAAAACTAACATTTCTTTGAAAATGTTTTTAAAAGAAGAATTGGCCTATTAGTCTAGAAAGGTAACATTGGAGAAAAAATCCCTTATCACCTTTAGATCTTTTAACTATTGTACTTTGCCTCTCCAATCTACAGCTGAACATCATTCCAGTAACAATAATAATACCTTCTGAACTTGTTTCCAAAATGACCTTTTAAAGAAATCAGAGGGAATAATTTAATTGTTTTAAACTTTATGTTAATTCTAGATACATTTTCCTATTTTTCTATTTGATATCCTTTTTACATGATCTACTAAATTAAAGTGTCTTCGCTTACAATCAGGAAAGTCAGCATTCAGCCAATGTAGACATTGCAAGATCCTGGAACACACCCTAAATAAATAGAATATGTAATCAAGATGCATTCATAATAATCAGTGTCTAGAATGCTGTGGGTTTCAAGGATTTATTGCTTAAAATGGCTCTCCTAGCCATGAATTTTGATTTGCACCACATGAGTGGGAAAATATGATGAATATAATCGCTATAGGATTGGTTGGGTTTTTTTCCTTACTCTACCAACCTAGATGTCTTTGAGCTGTGGTGTTGGAGAGGAGTATTGAATATACCATGGACTGCCAGGAGAACAAACAAGTTTGTTATAGAGAGGATAAAACCAGGCTGCTCCATGGAGGCAAGGATTCTGAGGCTTTGTCGGACATACTTTGGGTACGTTGCAAGGAGGGATTAATCCTTTGAGAGGAACATCATTCTTGGAAAGGTGGAGGGACGGTGCAAAAGAAGACCCGCTACCAGATGGATTGATTCAGTGACTAGGGTAATGAGGATAGGTGTGTCAGAGACAATGAAGTTGGCACAGGATAGAGCAGGTTTCAGGGCTGTTATACATAGAGTTGCTATGAATCACAAGCAGTTTGATGGCACATAACAACAACAACAACAATAATCAAGATAAATTGAACAGATTTAGAAATGAAAGTGGGAATCTCACTCCCACCAAGGAAGAGGAAGCAGAAGAGTAGTGAACACCCTCCAGTGTCAGAGATTCCTGTGCTACTTGGACCAGGATCAACAGCAGCATCCTGATCAGAGAACCAGAGACTGACATGGGACAGAGCTGACATGGGACTATTGCCTTACAGAGTCAGAACCAGGGGCCTTCACCCAAACCTTCTGGAAGACTAAGAGAAGATGCCACGTTTCCAGGACTAAGGGGACTTTGTAACACTGACTTGAACTTTGAGGCTGAAGAGGGCCTGCAAGTATACTTGAGAACTGTCTGAACTGAGGCTTTAGCTATTGTTGCTAACCTGAATTGTAAATGGTTTACTCCTCTAAAAAAGTAAAATGGTTTACTCCTCTAAAATACCATAACCTTAGGTATAGTTCTGTGAGATCTTTGTAGTCATTGAATGTACCTCAGACCCAGTAGAGAGTAAGATTGGTATTAGAATTAGTAGACATGGGAGACCATGCTTGTTTTCGTATTGTGCATATTGTTGATGAGGACAGTTTCTTTTTGTGGAGTTAGTAGAGGTCAGGTACAGCTATCCCAATGTTGTCTACACCATTTTTTTTTTCAAATGCAAAAGCTAGAAACAAGAACTAGTAAGTGGGAAGTATTACCTTGGTGACAAAAATGAGACTAGTGATCACTTGAAAGAATTTTGTACAAATAATAACATAGCCATTGTAAATACTTATTGTAAAAAAGATAGTGACTATACACATGGACTTCATCTGATAGTATTCACAAAAATCAGATTGACTATATCTGTGGAGAGAGATATTGGAGAAGCTAAATATCAGCAGTCAAACAGAACAGGGGTTGACTGTGGAACAGATTATCAACTGATTATATACAATTCCACAATTCAACAGAAGGTGAAGAAAATTAAAAGTACCAAAATATGACCTTGAATGTATGCCAGCCGAATTTAAAAATCATCTTAAGAATAAATTTGAAACACTGAATATCTATGACTCCAGACCAGACAAGTTGCAAAATGACTTCAAAGACATCATGCATGAAGAAAGCAAAAGGAACCATTACAAAGAAAAGACGAAAATGGATGTAAGAACACACTCCAAAGCTTGCCTTGGAATGAAAGAAAGCCAAAATAAGGAGAAGAAATGCTGAGGTAAGAAGACTGAACAGAAGATTTCAAAAGACAATTTGAGAAGGCAAAACAAAGTATTAAAATGAAATGTGAAAGTAACTGATGTTAGAAAATGAAAATAAAAGAACATACACAGCATTTTACAAACAGAACTTAAGAATAAATTTAAGACTCAAGACTCTAGTCACAACTGTTGCTAGGAGGAGGAGGTGCTATTCCTTGAAGAGGGACATGATGTAGGGAAGGGGGAGGGGTCAGCAAAGGAGAGGAAGACCTTCAACCAGGTGGATTGACAGAGTGACTGCTGCAATGGGCTCTTATGTGTCAAGAAGTGTGAGGATGGCGCAGGACAGAACTGGGTTTAGATCTTTTGTTCATAGGGTCACTGTGAGTCATACTCAACTTGATAGCACCTAACAACAACAACAGTCACAACACTGGAGAATTCTATGGGCAAAATTGTGAATGATGCAGGAAGCATCAAAAGAAGAAATGCATACATACAGTCTCTGTACTAAAAAGAATTAGTAGACATGAAACCATTTCAGGAAATAAGATATGATTAAGAATCAATAGGAAGAAGTCCAAGCTACACTGAAGGAATTGGCAAAAAATAAGACCCTTGGATTTGATGGACTACCTATCAATTGAGGTATTTCAGAAAAAAAAGATAGAATCCTAGACATGCTCACCAGCATTTGCCAAGAAATATGAAAGTCTGCTACCTGGCCAACTGTGTGGAAAAGATCTGCATTTGCTCCATTCCCAAGAAGGATAATCCAACAAACTGTGGAAATTAGAAAATATTTTTAATACAAAATACACATAAAATCTTGACTTGTTGTTGTGATATGCCGTTGAGTCATTTGCGACTCATAGTAACCCTATGCACAATAGTACATTGACAGGAAACAGCCAGAAATTCAAACTGTATTCAAAAGAGGTCTTGGATCAAGGGATATCAGTGTTAAGGTCTGATGAGTCTTAACTGAAAGAAAAGAAGACCAGAAATGTCTTCTCTTGTGTTTTATTTGATTGTGTGGATCTTAACAAATTACGGCTAATAATGAGGAGAAAGGGAATCCCAGAACACTTACATGTGCTCATGTGAAACCTCTAAAGAGACCAAGAATCAATTATCTAAACAGAACCAGAACACTGTATGGTTTAAAAATCAGGAGATCTAGCTGAATCAATTATCTAAACAGAACCAGAACACTGTATGAAAAATCAGGAGATCTAGCTCTACCTCTAGCTCTAGATCTATATCATCTCTATCTCTATCAT